AAGCTTTTCAAGATTGGAGGGTCGCTCTCTCGATCCCCTCCCCCGCAGGAGGCACCCGTGGTCGATCAGTTGGAACTGGGACCTGTGCATACCTATACTGTCATGGCTAACTGGTTACGTTATTCGACACATATCCACAAGGTACAGTGTACAAATCTTAGTATCACCAGCTATGGAATAACCCTGAACCAGTCGCTAACGGCTATTTATGTCAGACTACCCATCCGATAGCGCATGCTGACAACGCTATGACATACACTTGTTCTTGCAGTTAGTTAGTGTGTATGGAGAGCTCAAGAACTCTGTACTAGGTCAGCCTTCTGCTCAGAATTACAGCTAGTCATAATCGTAGGGAAGATAACGGACTATTCAATCTGCCACTAGACAGCGCTCTACACCATAAGAGAACCGAAAGGCAGAGGTATTCTTTCTTCTTCTCTCACTTTGACAACGTACTGTCATAGTATCTGATAAATAGAATTGACAATGAATTTATGGTGTACTTTTTACAAATTACTAAAAGAAAAACTATTTTTCTATTAATAAAAGCAGCTATTTCATATTTCGCATTTCAGTGTGAAAGAAGGCAAATGTCAATAGACTTTTATATATTTTCAGCTCTTTTGAAAAGCTCTCAAATGCATCCATAAATTTAATATACTATTTCAAAAATTCAATATGTTCTTCTTAAATAGACAATAACTTACTGATCTGTCAATTTAAACTGTAATTCACAACCAATATAATGAAATTTATATCGTCGTTTCGTTAGTTTAATTAATGTACTTAGATCATATGTAACAATTTGTTGTTCATTAATATTATTTAATGCTTGAAAATAACAACATTGATTTGTTAATAAACATTTACCAGGATTTTGTATTAATGGTCTAATAACATAAGCATCTTCTTCAAATAAAATTTTTTCATATAAATCTTTTAATTGTTTTAAATCAAATTTAAGCATTTTTAAACGTCCTTGAACAATTGATTTAATCATCATAACTTGTTGAGGAAATGGTAATGTTGTTGAACGATATAATTGTCCAACAACAGATAAACAATCTTCAACATTTGAATGAACAAATTCAAAATCAAAACGATGTGTATCATAAATAATTGTATATGGTTCAATACGTCCATTAATTGCCATTAATGTAACTGATGAACAATTAAGTATTAAACTATTTGAATTTTTTTTATTTATATCTGATGATGATATTATTGTTGAATCAGTAAGACTGAATTCATTTTTTCGACTATCTTCAAATTTTAATATTTGTTCATATAAAATTTTAATCATTGGTGAACGAATATCATTTGGAACAAAAACAAGAGATTTTGAACAAATATTTACACGACCTTTTATTTTTAATTGTTGATCTTCATTTAATGTACTTTGACATAGAACAGCATAATCTCGAAAATAAATTTCATTTGCTGATAAATTATATAATGAAAATGTATGTTGACGCATAGCCGTTTCACGTCGTGCTGTCATTATATAGGAATTGTTTTATTTTTTATTTTTTCTACAATATAATCGAAAAAAAAAATATAAATAAAATTTTTGTTGTTTATATGAAAATATGTTAAATTCGGTTTTCATTCAAAATTTAAAAACTAAGAACAAACACAAAATTGAAAAATTTATCATTCTCACGGTGATGAGTCTTCACTCGAACTCTGATCTAAATAATAACCAAGAAATTGTCGATTTAATAATCTTCTTAATAATGCTGTTGGATGTTGTATTGTTGTTGAATTAATTGATTCACATGAAACAACTTTTGATTCAGATGAACAGGATGATTTAGAATCTATTGCTTTATCAAATGAATATGTCCAACGTACATGCGCTCGACGACTGTCCCACTGGAAGAATAAGAAAAACAAAAAAAGAATTCAAGGACAATGAAACTTTTTTGTATATTAAATTTATTAAACAAATTAAAAATAAGAAAATTCTAATAGATTTAATGTTACCTTTTCAATAATGAATCGTTTTATTTATAGGAATAAAAAGTATCAAATTATTTATACGAGTAATATTAACAAAAAAAAATCAATATTCTTTCCATTACTGTATCAGTAAACTAAATTTTACACTTTTTTCTTTATTCTTCATCATGATAACGCCTACAAAAGTTGACAAAATTACACTTTTTTTCTTTTTGTTTTTATTTCTTATCAATTTTCATTTCTACAAGAGATATAAAGTGTACCTATAAAAATTAGTCAACAAGGTTAATTTTGATCATTCTTCAACTAATATAATAATAATATTTTGATAAAAGCTTGGTTGTTATAATATATAATGATAAAATTAGAACATATTGATGTCGATTTATATTCTCTTTTGGTTCTTTTTCTTGTGAATATAAATGTAAGAGAAGAGCAAAATAAAAAATACAAATCAAAGTCAATAATAATATAATGTCATGGTCATATATCATAACAAATAGCTCTTATCGAAATTTTATTATTATGACATATTAGTTGAAGAATGATCAAATATCACAAAAAAATTGAAGATTGTTTTTACGGTCATTGCATATTAAAGAGAAACTTTCGTCAAGCTTTCTATATAGGAATAAAATATCTCTATCATTATTTTTGGATTATTCTAAGCATTTGTAATACAAATAAATGAAAAGAAAAATTATGTACAAAGCTTCGAAGATGAGATTTTTAGAAAACTACAATTCTAGTTTTTCAGCATTTAATAGAATATCAATTTGTTCAGAGTCAATAGAATGATAGAACAAACTGTTCTTTACAAAATGAAACGTCTTGGAGTTCTTAATGATGTGTTCTAGCTGATAAGTAAATCTTTCCAAATGTCAAATCGCGTTTCGATCGAAAAACGATTTGACATCTGAAGAGGTTCTCTCGTAATATACAACAATCCTACGGACATCAAAAAGTCATTTTTCTTTGCACTTTCCATTAGATTGTTGAGTCTCAGTCAAAGAATGTCTTGAAAAATTAAGCTTTTGATTTTTCGTTAAATCTCATCTATGAAAATTCGCGAATAAGCAGTTTTGTTTTTTTCTTTTCATATGTTCTTCTTATAAATAACTTTTTTTCTATTCTAACGAACAATGTAGATTAAATCTTTGTAAAATAAATATTTTAATTGAAATAAATAAAATCAAAATTTTACCGATGTTGATATAATATAATTTTCATATGGATGCCAAGATATATCTCGTATACATCTTTCACGACTTTCATTCATATGATTACTAATACGAAGACGTAATTCAATAGTACCAGTAAGTATATCATAAACTAAAAGAAAGATGAAAAAAAAAAAACAAAACAAATTCAATCGATTTTTTTTCTGTTCAAAACAAAAATAAACAATTTTAAGAAGACGAACTGTGAATACAACCATCCGAAGAGCCTGTTATAATATATTTTTGTCCAGTTGTAAATGATGGTGAAAAATAACAACGTATTAATGTATAACGTACAGAATGACCACGATATGTACGAATACTTGGATCACCTGGTATATCATAGCTTTGAGCTAAACAAAATGAAAAATATTTGTTATAATTAAAAAAGAAAACAAAACATTTAGGTGTTTACGTTGTGGTCTATAACCATCATATCGATAATCCCAACCATAATCACTACTATTTGATTTCGTACGAATTTTATCTATTACTGATTCATTAGCAAAATGACGCATATCCCATAATTTAATACTTTGATCTTTACTATTTGAAATTAAATACCTTGTATCCATCTATAAATACAATAGTTGCAAATAAAAAATTCACTACCAAATAAAAATTATCTAAATGTCAATCCTTTAATCTCATAGTTTGACAACAAATAAAGTATGTTGAACTCTGATCTCAAGGACTTGATCGGTCTTCATACGGAGAAGCTAAAAGGTCAACACATTGATTTTTATCTTCAGACAAGAATATCTCAACATAGAGAACAAATATCATGATGTTAGATTCTTTATTTGACAGTTCAGTGCTACTTTATCATTAATAAAATCTCCATGTCAAACACTTTTAGTTTGTTTGATTTATGAAGTATTCTTTAGGTAATCTTCACATGAGAGTTGATGAGAATCGTCGAAAAGTGATCGATATCTTCCACTAATTTTAACCATTTGTTTTAAAATTTTCTCTAGTGTGTGTATATGTGCCATACTCTAATCAAGTTTTCCTTGAAAATTTCACGATCATAATCATCAATGGAGAAAAGATCTATACTGAAAACGTTCCAAACGATGAAGACTTCCCTGCACCTCAAGATTGTAGCGGATTGGAGTATTCCATCAGTAATATAATATTGACATACAAATCTTTATTTATTAATGAGAAAATGGTGATAATCGTGGAAAATGAGAAAAGTATTTAAAAAAAAAAGCTTTTTTTTGGATCCTAGGGAGAAACACGAATGTTTTCATCGTAAATCTTTTACATTAAGGCTGATCGGTCTCCGGTTGTTGCTTTCGATTAGAGCTTACCGAGCTTTATTTGTAGTCAAAATATCAGGCAAAAAGATTGAAGTTTATATACTTTTTTTTTTTTTTTTACCAAGTAGAGAAACTTCGTGCGATTACTATATTTGATAAACTTACTCGACTATGTACAAAAGTAATTCCATTTGTATGACCAGCAAATATACCAACTGGTTTTGGTTGTGATTCATTCAATGCTCGTCGATCCCAAATTGAAACAAAATTATCATCAGAACCACTAACAATTAATGAATTAGAATTATCAATGAAACGAACAGCATTTACATCATCTTCATGAGCTTGAACCTATTTTATATATATAAATCATATTTCATTACAAAAAAACAAAATTTTTTTTTTGCGTCTTACACGTAATGTTCGTTTCTGTCGATGAAGATCATATATATATACACATGTATCATTTGAACCACCAATTATTTCTGAACCATCAGCAGAATATTGTAAAGAAAATATTGAAAAACTATGTGAATGTGGTTCTAAATGTAATGGAATAATATTTGATTGACTTTGATTTTCATTTAATTTAATTAAATAAACTAAGAAATATAAATAAGTATA